CCCTGAGCGCTGTCCACTCGGTGTGTACGTGTGACGAACAAGTGTTTCATTGGCCCCAAAAAGTAACCAAGGAAGTTGGGCGGGTAATCTGTGCTCTGGACTTAAGGCGTTGCATGGCTTCCCGCAACACCTTTGAAGCTCAGAGCAAACTTGACTTGAAATCGACACTGCTTGTCGCTCTATCTTATGGGCGACTGCCAGGCATTTCCGATTTTCCTTCTTGGACGGCGCCGCCCCGTACAAGCATGACCAAAGGCACACCAACTTCTTTTTGACTTCATGTATACATTGTAATTCTTGTTTTAAGAACAATGGGGCCTAACCAGAGCAAGATATAGCTGAAGAACCACACCAGGTGTCTTGTTACTAACGCTTCGATTAATAATTCCCAGTGTCCTATTTGCCTTATTACGAACATTCATGCATTGATCCTTTGGGTTTAAATTCTTACTAATCATAACTCCCAGATCCCTTTCGCAATCCGACACCATTTAGCTCGTATCTTGTAACTTTATCATCATTACCTAGCCTCGGAACTTTACATTTATCAGCATTAAACTGCATTTGCCAATATTTTTGTAGCTAAATAATTTAATAAAATAAAATAGTAAAGTGCAAACTTAAAAAAATGGAAATCTGAAAACCGGAAATTTTAAATGAGTGATAAACACGAACAGTGAAGCTTAACTTTCTTTATGGTGCGTGTAGTGTGTGTGGTTTATTCCTCCCGATGACTCCACGAGTGGTAATGTTGGTAAAGGCGTCACAGCGGTGCGTCAGTGTCGATGACTTAGTAAGCTTCAAGTGTTTCCTGGAGTGCCACTTGATGCAGGGCGCGGGCGGCAAGGTTTGAAGTATTTCCTAGTGTGTTGTTGTTGTTGTGAATTAAGGGGCAACGACGATCCCGGGATCGGTTGCGCCCCGGCGTACCCGTAAAGGGTGAATGACGTATCGCCAGACACTAAGATGCTTTACGTCAAAGAAACGCACACACAGGCAGATGATTGGGGAGCCCCAGGAGTCCCTCAAGGTGACAAGCAGCGGCCCCGCCTCGCACAGAGAACACTGGGTACCAAAACCAAAAATTCGGCCCAAAACTAAAACGCAAAAGTCATCCAGTGTCCTCCGGCAGAGCAGACGCCAGCCGCCCACCACAGCTGAGGGCCCACCAGGAGCCCACCAAGACCCGCCGACTCCCGGCACCTCTCGGCCAAGCCGGCGCCGGACACCGTCACCCCACCCGAAGAACCAGCCAGAAAACGTTCAAAATCTATCAACTATCCTGTGACCCAAGGCGATATGTGCGCCAGGCGCCGTACAAACTGGACCGTTGAAGAGGGATGCCAAACGACAGTATCAAATCCAAAAAAATCGCGAAAACATACCGTGATCCAGCGGCTCCCAGGCGGAGGAGGCGTCCAAACGTCCGCTCGTCGTCAAGGTTGAATCAGGAGTCGTGAGACTTGATACACGGCGCGGGCTGTTGTTATTGTTGTCTGCGGAACCTGATCGCTTATCTGCTTTGTACATCAGTCACGTTTTCTATGAAACGTTTTCGGCCGGCGAGTTACTGGAGTAGGTCAGATGTGGCTGACGCGAGCTATTTAGCCAATGTTTTCATTGCTTGGTATTTTATATGTAGTGAGGCGTTTCCCCCTCTTAATATGTGGTCGATCTTAAAGGGCACTTTGAGGGTGATACGTTCTTGTTTGAAATTGATTCTGGAACTACGATAATTACCTGTGGAAGAGTAATTATCAAAAGATACCAAGCCGGGAGGGGCTATGTAGAACCGTCTGTCAATGGAGGTTTAAAAGCAGCTAAATATTATTCAGGATATCCTCGTAGGAAAACGAAGGGACATAAAGGGAGCGACATATGACGTATCAGATTCCTCAAGGATTCCACTGAAGAATATTAGGACAGCAAAACAATCGATTATCTTGAAAAAACGGGACAATGTTTCGTTTGTTTCATTATACAAAATGTTTTCTTAAAAAGTAATTTAATATTTTGATATTTTATTATGTGAATAGTTTGGTTTGGAATAGATTAAATGAGGTGTTTGGTTTCCTGAGTGGCACTTGACCTCCACGAGAACAGGAAGCCGACGGCTTGTCGAAGGTCCCCCCATTTGCATTGATGACCTTTTCCAGATGTACTTTAAACATACAAACGTTTCAGTTGTCAATTAATTTCCAGACTTTGTTCGTCCGTTTAGCGGCCGAACCCAAAGATTTACTCATTTCAACAGTAATGCTTAAATAAAACAGTTCTTTAAGTAATGTAAATATTATGTAATTGTATGAGAGAGAGAGAGAGAAAAAAAAGAGAGAAAGAGAGAAAAAGAGAGAGAGAGAGACATATGATATTCCTCCCCTAACAACTATCGTCACATCTACAGAAAAAAGGGTTATCTGAAGAACTGGACTGGTGAGTCAACAACCAAAGATGTTTCCACTCAGAGAATTCAGGAAACAAAATTATTCATATTTTCATCCCTATTAAAGTTGTATTATTTTTTACCATCTATGTAATGCGAGACACTCCACAGACCTGCATTTTTTTTTTTTACATATTTAGCTGTAATCTCTGGGGTGTCTGATAAATGAATTTTTTTGTCGTCAAACTTTATATACTTATCCATAGGGAATATTTTAACTGGTTATTATGTAATCTTGTAACATGACGGATAGAGCAACGACCTTCCCATATTCAGGGTCTTAGCTCGAGCCTCGATTCTCGAACCTGTGAGAGCTTCCTTGAAGATGACTCCTGAGAGAGTTAATAGAAGTTCCTTCCTGGGAAGGTCAGAGGGAAGCGAGAACATTTTCTTTAAGAGGAAGGAGGAATAAAGAGGGGCTATATTATTTTACGTGTGAGAGATTCTTCAAATTCCACGCTCCAGGAGACAGTCCGTATTTCAGGTTCCACGAGACTCTGTATTCTACCCTGCAGGAGACACACTATGCTAGGCTCCAGGGGATCATCCGTGTTCCAGAAGACATTCCATGTTCCAGGCGCCAGGAGACCATCTCAAGAACACGTCAAGGAATTGTCGAAAAAAAGGCAATATTTATCTTTTGAGAGTTTATTAGTAAATTGCCGGAATGTTTGAAGACGGGAAGAGGCAGACCAATGTGAAAGAAAGAGTGCAGTACCCGCCCGAGATGGTAGAGTACCCACCCAAGATGGCAGGGTACCCGCTCCAGATGGTAGAGTACCCCACCCCATATGGTAGAGTACTCGCCCAAGATAGACGAGTACCCGCTCGAAATGTTCGAGCGAAGCCTATTAGTACAAGTGCTACCCACTGCTCCATGACTTATCCTTGAAGAGTTGCTCAGTGCCCCCGAGGGCAGCAGGTACCGTCTACCCCGTTACCAGACGGTACTACGTACCAGCAGGCGCTCTTAGTACCACCAGGTACTTTCCCTTCCCAAAGAACTAGTATAGTTCCTCTTGACCGCCATCACATCCCGCCTCGGTTAAATACTCTCGACTGTCGTATCATCCCTAAGCTTAGGCACTTCCACTCCCCCCCAAAAAAAACACGTCAAACATCCGGCTGGGCCTCGGAAAGACGCGACATACATCCGGCTGCTCCTCCATTTCCAGCTGGGCTACTGACTCAACACAGCATAAATAAGCCATGCTCACGAAAATGTTTGACAGTGGGTTGAACAACCTTGACTGGGTTCGTGTTTTTTTGATGGTAAGCCGCGTTGTACTTTGTGAAGACGAGCGCCCCTACTCGCACCACACGCAGGAGGCTGCCGGGGCTGACCTGGGAGCCGTCGGCGTATTAGGGTAAGACCCGGGCTGGTGTGTGTGAGAGAGAGAGAGAGAGCACTCGCTGTGTTTTGATTCGTCTAACTGTAAGAATAACTAGGACAAAACCTATATAAGAAATAGGAAGGGTGCGGATCTTGACATTCGTTGACAAACACACACACACACACGTAATACCTGTCTTAGCCAGTGAAAGGATGTATAAACAACAACAAAAAATACATTAACAATAACCATATACAACCATACATAACTCAAACCATTGTAACTATACATAACTACCATAGTATCCATACTCAACACATGTCATTGTAACCATACATCTTGTACATGTATACTCAAATAAAGATATACAAATAATAATTAACATTAATGATTTATAATAATAATATTAATAATAATAAATAATAATGAAAATAATGTATTATTTATAATTGTACAAAATCATACTATGATCTAAAAACAAGAATACAAATAGAACAAATTAACAAAATTAGATTTATATATTGAATTAAATAATAATTATAATTAAAATAAAATTAATAATAATTATCACGAAATAAAAATCCTCACACAAATGCCAGAATAATAATTAAAAGTGTTGGTCTTGCTGTGAAACAAATGTTTTGAAATGTTGTAGATCAAAAGTTACAAAATCTATTCTGTAGTCTGCTGTGTCCTACACGAATGATTTGTATTGGTTGTAAGAGGGTAAAGCCTTTGTAATTTGTGTGTTCAATGTTGTGTATTTACAGTGTGTTGGAGTGTAGGTGTATTCAGTATACAGGGCATCACTTAGGGAAGGGGTGTCCACCATCACGTGTGGCTGTACGTGTACAGTATATATACAGTACAGTACAGTACTGTACAGTATATATACAGTACAGTACAGTACGCGTTTCTGCCCGAAACGCTGTGCGTACTAGTGGCTTTACAAGAGTGTAAATACTGTACTATCCAATGTATTCTCACAAACCCAATGTACCTTCTTGTATATATATAAATAAATAAATAAATACGAATGTTTGTGAATGTATGTGTATGTATGTGTGTGTGTGTGTGTGTGTGTGTGTGTGTGTGTGTGTGTGTGTGTGTGTGTGTGTGTGTGTGTGTGTGTGTGTGTGTGTGTGTGTGTGTGTGTGTGTGTGTGTGTGTGTGTGTGTGTGTGTGTGTGTGTGTGTGTGTGTGTGTGTGTGTGTGTGTGTGTGTGTGTGTGTGTGTGTGTGTGTGTGTGTGTGTGTGTGTGTGTGTGTGTGTGTGTGTGTGTGTGTGTGTGTGTGTGTGTGTGTGTGTGTGTGTGTGTTTGTTTTGGCACTCAAGGATTCAAGACAGATGTCTTGATGTCTCCGCAGATGTGGGGTTGTTGTTAAAGATTCGCTACTTGGAACAAACAGTTCCAAGTAGCACGGGCTATGGTGAGCCCGTAGTGGGGGGGAAAATAACAGACGACACGGACCTTGATCTTGCTAACTTAAAGAGATCTCCAAGGCGGCTCTGCAAGCCGTCCCTTACGACCTCGTAAGCCACTTACGAGCATATTCAAGAACCTACATGGTGAAGTTCTCCTACATGGGGGGTCATTTGCCACCCCTCTGAGAAAAGAACGGAAAACACAAATATATTTTGTAACTTTTTCTTTTAAAACATCAGTCATCTAAAGGAAATAAATTTATGAATTCACATTGAATTTTTGCAGACATCTATTTGTTTATTTTGTTGCATCTAGTGTTTTTTTTCCTTCAGCTGAACGATGATGAAAATCACATTAATCGCCCTGATTTTACCTCTTTCACATCTACAAAAAATAAAGTAGAAGTACTTTCTACATTTTCATCCCCCGCCCAAACAAAAATAGATTCTAGGAAATGTACCTCTCACGTCTCCAACAGCATTCTGGTAATATCACTTTATGATTTTGAAGTACTTGGCAATCGAAGTCTCTCTTTCTAGTTGGACTGACTTTCCACCTGGATTTCAACCCCAAGCACGAATGTGTGAGAGAAGACTTCACGAAATTGTACGGCGACTAAGGCCGTACAAGTTGATCGCCACTGACACCACCTACATTGTTGTTGTTTTTGATTCAGTTACTCTGAACAGACTTTCCACGTAGCACAGGTTATAGTGAGCCCGTGGACACCACCTACACAACAGTTACTCATAGCACAGCTTCAGTATTTCCTACCATTGGATTTCCTTCGTGGGGGGTTGTTTTAGAGGTATATGGAGTTTTTGATTCTCGTAGTATCCTGGTTATTTTTTAGCGCACGTCATTGTAGTAAATCACACGTTATAAGGGTCCGCCATCCACAGGTTAGTCAGTAAATCTTAGGAGGACGGACTTTTGTAATATAGCAAAGGACTCGCCCTTCTTTCCATCCTGTGGCTTCCTTCACTTGGGGGGGAATCCCCGCACAGGAAGTACGATCTATTATTGCTACGCAGAACACAACAAAAACAACGAAATCAAAGGAAGAAAGTTCAAGAAACCACGGCTAGAGACCATACATCATTAGAGAACACCGATACAACGTTACCTCTAGCTCTCTTGTCTGGTGACGCGTCTACGCTTAATGCTATATTGCTTACTAATGCTACTATCACTGGTTTAGAACACTGGTGAAGAGACCAGGTCGAGCGGCACAGGTCCTGACCCCCGAGCGATGCGTATTAGCTGAGCACGTCTGTGTGTGTGAAACCAGGTCCTCGGGACTGTTCCACTGTGACTTAAGGTCAATTGGTCGTCAAATCAGTTCCATGGCGTAGCCATACTAAATGCCATGGCGTGGTTAGGTCTCCTGAGTTACAGGAGTTTGGTGGAGTCCGCTTCTCAGCTCGAAGGCTTGATCATGTTTCCAGGTCGTTTGATTGCTTCCAAGGGATCAAGGCCTCGGGTCAGTTCAAGGCCGTGGGTAGTAGCTCCACGGGCCAGATGAAGGGTGTGTGGTCAGGATTCACACAGGTCAAGCCCAGGATGTGGCCAAGTCCACGGGTTAGTACCAGAGTGTTGTCTGATCCACAGATCAGGTCCATGGTGCGAACAGGCTCCCCGGGGCCTGGCTAGGTCATCTGGACGACAAGTATCTCGAGCGAGGTCACAGGAGGACACAGAGTCTGCTCCGTAGTTTGTTACAAGTCTTGCCCTGTGGTCGCCCTCGCCCTGTGCTCTCCTGGATATTAGAAATAAGATAATTCATTAATTCTTTTCATAAAATTTGCAAGACGTTTTTAACACAAAAAAGTTACTGTATAATTTAATATAAAGATGTTTGCCATAAATTACTGATATATAACGCTATACATTATACTTTTCAAACACAAGTAGGAATATAGGGCCAAATTGTTAACAAAAAAAATAAAATATAAAATGAGACATAGGAATTCTATATTCTGTATTATAAAACAAATATTCCATATCTGAAGAATCCTTTCAAATCCTTTTCTTATCTTAAGACTTCCAAGAGGTTTCTTTTTTACCTCAAAGCTCCTTATAGGTCTATCTGCCCGAAAACTTCAAATAGGCCTCATCTGCCTGAAGAATCCCTACAGGCCCAACATATTTCTGAAGAAGATAGCCTACACACCCCTCTAAAGACTCCGAAGAGGCAATTTTAAAGACTCTCTACCTACTCTACTCTACTTTTCTACTTAAAGACTCTCAAACTTCAAAACACTCAAAATGTCCCACAACTTCCTGAAAGCTATAAATTTTTGTTTCTTCCATCCTTAACAGCTTCACCTCAATAGACTGAGGTGTCTCTTGAGTAATAACACAAGCTTGTAGATTCTCACACAACACACTTGGAAGCCCCCCGTTTTCACACTTGAGAACCCTATCTTGAGTTTATCTTGAGATGATTTCGGGGCTTTTAGTGTCCCCGCGGCCCGGTCCTCGACCAGGCATCCACCCCCAGGAAGCAGCCCGTGACAGCTGACTAACACCCAGGTACCTATTTTACTGCTAGGTGACAGGGGCATAGGGTGAAAGAAACTCTGCCCATTGTTTCTCGCCTGGGATCGAACCCAGGACCACAGGATCACAGGTCCAGCGTGCTGTCCGCTCGGCCGACCGGCTCCCTATACACCAGGACCCCCAACCCTTCCCGCGAGGACCCCAACCCTTCCCCAGAAGGACCTCCCTAGCACCCCTGTACCTGGGACTCCTGGCGAGAGACTGGAGCAGAGAAGGAAGAGGAAGACGGTAGCGGCCCTTCACCCATGGGAGACATGCGGGCCGGTCGTTGGTCCGTGGAGGAGTCCATCACTCTATCCATCCGCTTCTCCACCGACCGTCTCTTCCCCGCGCCCTTGAGCGCCCTCGCCCCCTTCAGCGCCGAACTCAGCCCGAGACGCCCGCGCCCTCGCTCGCTCTCAGCCTGAAAGAAATAAAATCAGTTATTGTTCAGAGAAGTGGTCCATGTTTACTTATGGTGGCGACTTGTTGGTACACCTGCAGCAGTTATGTTGGTACAGCTGCTGCAGTTATGTTGGTACACCTGCAGCAGGTATGTTGGTACATTTACTGCAGTTATGTTGGTACACCTGCAGCAGTTATGTTGGTACACCTGCAGCAGTTATGTTGGTACACCTGCAGCAGTTATGTTGGTACACCTGCAGCAGTTATGTTGGTACACCTGCAGCAGTTATGTTGGTACACCTGCAGCAGTTATGTTGGTACACCTGCAGCAGTTATGTTGGTACACCTGCAGCAGTTATGTTGGTACACCTGCAGCAGTTATGTTGGTACACCTGCAGCAGTTATGTTGGTACACCTGCAGCAGTTATGTTGGTACACCTACAACATAATACTTTAATACCTAAACATTTAATAAACATTCTCATCCTAACATTTAAATTTATTTATTATTATGAATTCTATGTTTAAATTTTAAACAGATGAACTACAAAACTTAATTTAACAAAAACAATATACAATAATATTAATTTGGAAAAAATTATCTATTATCAAATCTTAAGTCAAATCTTCGCAATTTGACTAAGGAAAACCAATATCTTTCCTTAATATGGACTTACAGAAAAATTCAAGGATTACCTTAGAGGTCAAAGATGACATTAGAGGTTAAGGATTACCCTCAAGAGGCCATTTTTTTTACCTAAGAGGTCGTAGCTTAACAGTGATCTATGACCTTCACAAACATAGCTTACCTGAGTGTATACGACTTACCTTGCCTCGTCTTGTATGCCTTAAGTGCACCAGCTCCCCCAGAGGGCGTGGCTTACCTTAGGAGGTGATGGGGAAGTGGGTAGAGCAGGCGGTGGCTTGGGGTTGAGAGTGATCTTGCTGATAACTGCAGAAATGATCAGAGGAGTTAGTCATATGTATACAGAAATTATCAGAGGAGTTATTATCATATGTATACAAGAAATGATTAGAGGAGTTAGTTTCACATGTATACAGAAATGATCAGAGGAGTTAGTTTCACATGTATACAGAAATGATCAGAGGAGTTAGTTTCACATGTATACAGAAATGATCAGAGGAGTTAGTTTCACATGTATACAGAAATGATCAGAGGAGTTAGTATCACATGTTGACCACACCACACACTAGAAGGTGAAGGGACGACGACGACGTTTCGGTCCGTCCTGGAACATTCTCAAGTCGATTGAGATTGAGAATGGTCTTAGAATCACATGTATATAAGAAATGATCAGAGGAGTTAGTATCACATGTATACAGAAATTCAATATAGCCCGTGCTACTTGGGACGACGACAACGTTTCGGTCCGTCCTGGACCGACAATCGACTTGAGAATGGTCCAGGACGGACCGAAACGTCGTCGTCCCTTCACCTTCTAGTGTGTGGTCTGGTCAACATTCTTCAGCCACGTTATTGTGACTCATCGCCTGCATCTTTTGCCTTGCTGTATTGTGCTCGTGTCAGTTGACCTCCTTCCTGTCTTACAAAAGAATGCAGCACAAATTTATTCTTTAAGGTTGCTTGTGTTTTAGGTTACAAAGTTTGTTAAAAAAATTCTCCATCTTTATATTTGAAAGTTAGTAACTGACGAAGCAGGTTTCTATCGGTTGTCGAATTGAAATCATCGGCAATCAAGTCAATCCATTAGACCTTAATAAGTTCACAGAAAACGGGGTCAGTCTAGGACTGAAGAGGACTGGTCCATCCACTTGGACTGGTCGGTATAGTGACGGTGGCGCTACCTTCAGGTGGGCCTTCGACCCGTGATTGGCTAAGTCGGTGGCCACCGCATCTTCACTTCCGTTGAGCGTAAGGCTAACCACTTTGATTCCTGTGACGAGTCGTATATTTGCAGGATACTGAGCCACTTTGGCAGCCCAAACAGAAACCGAGTATTCTGTAAAGTTGTGAGCTGTTCTCTAATCTTCCAAGCTTCAAGACAAAGCAGGAGATTGGAGGCGTCTTCCGGTCGACACCAGACTACGGAGCGGTGGCGTATATAAACGCTTGAGGTGACAGCTCCACCCACGGCTGCTTCAGACACTGAAGCGTGACCCAGTTTCTGAGCAGCTTAGAGAAGTGGTTGGACACTGAGGTAATAACCTGAGGGTGTCACCCACGGCTTGGGAATAAAACTGTGACTCTCAGCGCTGTCAGGTAATCCGCCAGGGAGTTGGACTATCAGAAAGACCACAATTCCGATTAGATTGAAATTGAAATAAGTTCATTGAGGTATAAATACACACAAAAGGGATGAGGTAGCTCAAGCTATTCTCACCCCGTTCAGTACAACGTGTTCATATATATATATATATAGACACACATCACAAACAATCGTTAGTAGTAGTAACAGTAGTTAGTAGTAGTGGGGACACAGCATTGCTCCTGTGCCAGATAAGCTACGGGCTCACCATAGCCCGTGCTACTTGGAACTTGTTCCGAGTAGCTGAATCATAACAACAACAACACAAACAATCAACATAGTACTGAACATTCAGAGACCGGTAAGGTGTTTCACCAAGTCTTGCACTACAAGGACACTTGCCTAAAGATTTGTTCAGCCACAAACATAGCACACTCTCTAACTTCGTTCATTCGTTGGAACACGGGCGTGGCGCTCTTCCCTGGTGAACAGCCAAGCGTTAAATTACAATCTCATTGTTCATCACTTGTTGAAAGAAAGACACGAGAACATACTAAACAAATCCCAACAGGTCCCAGCTTGTTGTTTCGAATGTTCAGTCTCTTTCCAGTCTAATTTGTCTGTACTATTACTACTATTATTGGTGTTAGATTTGATCAGGAGAATAACAGCAAGTTGTATTGGGATTGGGCAGACGTTTGGCGTTAACGGGTGACAAACTGCTTGTTGGACAGTGCTGTACCCCGTCTCATGGACTGGTCGCTGCAACGCCTGTCTCGCATCGTTCAGGGGTCGGTGTTCGATCCCCCAATGATCTAAGTAGTTGGGCACCGTTCTTTCACTCAGGTCCTCGTACCCCAGCTCCTTGTCCTCGTACCCCAGTTCCTTGCTCTCATACCCCAGCTCCTTGTCCTCATACCCCAGCTCCTTGTCCTCGTACCCCAGCTCCTTGTCCTCGTACCCGCAGCTCCTTGTCCTCGTACCCCAGCTCCTTGTCCTCGTACCCCAGCTCCTTGTCCTCGTACCCGCAGCTCCTTGTCCTCGTACCCCAGCTCCTTGTCCTCGTACCCCAGCTCCTTGTCCTCATACCCCAGCTCCTTGTCCTCATACCCCAGCTCCTTGTCCTCGTACCCGCAGCTCCTTGTCCTCGTACCCCAGCTCCTTGTCCTCGTACCCCAGTTCCTTGTCCTCATACCCCAGCTCCTTGTCCTCATACCCCAGCTCCTTGTCCTCGTACCCCAGCTCTTTGTCCTCGTACCCGCAGCTCCTTGTCCTCGTACCCCAGCTCCTTGTCCTCGTACCCCAGCTCCTTGTCCTCGTACCCGCAGCTCCTTGTCCTCGTACCCCAGCTCCTTGTCCTCGTACCCGCAGCTCCTTGTCCTCGTACCCCAGCTCCTTGTCCTCGTACCCCAGTTCCTTGTCCTCATACCCCAGCTCCTTGTCCTCGTACCCGCAGCTCCTTGTCCTCGTACCCCGGCTCCTTGTCCTCGTACCCCAGCTCCTTGTCCTCGTACCCCAGTTCCTTGTCCTCATACCCCAGCTCCTTGTCCTCGTACCCGCAGCTCCTTGTCCTCGTACCCCGGCTCCTTGTCCTCGTACCCCAGCTCCTTGTCCTCATACCCCAGCTCCTTGTCCTCATACCCCAGCTCCTTGTCCTCGTACCCGCAGCTCCTTGTCCTCGTACCCCGGCTCCTTGTCCTCGTACCCCAGCTCCTTGTCCTCGTACCCCAGTTCCTTGTCCTCATACCCCAGCTCCTTGTCCTCGTACCCCGGCTCCTTGTCCTCGTACCCCAGCTCCTTGTCCTCGTACCCCAGTTCCTTGTCCTCATACCCCAGCTCCTTGTCCTCATACCCCAGCTCCTTGTCCTCATATCCCCCTTCCAGGTGCCCCACACACACACACACACACACACACACACACACACACACACACACACACACACACACACACACACACACACACACACACACACACACACACACGGTCCTATCTTGTTTCTGATATATGTAAATGATCTCCCGGAGGGTATCGATTCATTTCTCTCAATGTTTGCGGACGATGCTAAAATTATGAGAAGGATTAAAACAGAAGAGGACTGTTTGAGGCTTCAAGAAGACCTAGACAAGCTGAAGGAATGGTCGAACAAATGGTTGTTAGAGTTTAACCCAACCAAATGTAATGTAATGAAGATAGGTGTAGGGAGCAGGAGGCCAGATACAAGGTATCATCTGGGAGAGGAAATTCTTCAGGAGTCAGAGAAGGAAAAAGACTTGGGGGTTGATATCACGCCAGACCTGTCTCCTGCAGCACATATCAAGCGGATAACATCAGCGGCATATGCCAGGCTGGCCAACATACGAACGGCATTCAGTAACTTGTGAAAAGAATCATTCAGAACTTTGTATACCACATATGTCAGGCCAATCCTGGAGTATGCAGCCCCAGCATGGAGTCCATATCTAGTCAAGGATAAGACTAAACTGGAAAAGGTTCAAAGGTTTGCCACCAGACTAGTACCCGAGCTGAGAGGTATGAGCTACGAGGAGAGACTACGGGAATTAAACCTCACTTCGCTGGAAGACAGAAGAGTTAGGGGGGACATGATCACCACATTCAAGATTCTGAAGGGGATTGATAGGGTAGATAAAGACAGTCTATTTAACACAAGGGGAACACGCACAAGGGGACACAGGTGGAAACTGAGTGCCCAAATGAGCCACAGAGATATTAGAAAGAACTTTTTTAGTGTCAGAGTGGTTGACAAATGGAATGCATTAGGAAGTGATGTGGTGGAGGCTGACTCCATACACAGTTTCAAGTGTAGATATGACAGAGCCCGATAGGCTCATGAATCTGTACACCTGTTGATTGACGGTTGAGAGGCGGGACCAAAGAGCCAGAGCTCAACCCCCGCAAACACAACTAGGTGAGTACACACACACACACAAGTCGAGGGCGTGCTCCAGTAACGTTGTGACACTTGATGATATATGAGCGGCACATTCTTCCGTGCTCATAATATATTTATCGTCCAATTTACGAGTGATAAATGAATTAACGTATCAACAAAGAACAACATTGTGATTCTCATACATAGGTCACACTCACACACACGCTCGAGTCGCCTTCTTTTATCACCTTAGTGCTTCCTTATGCTTCAGGACCAGTAACAGCCAGGGCTTGACGATGAGTGGACGTGCGTCAGAACAGTTCCGACGTGGTTGGGCACTTTTCCCTTCACCTGATGCCTCTGTTCACCTGGCAGTAAGGTAGGTACCCCGGGAGTTAGGTAACTGTTGTGGGGTTGGATCCTGAGGCAAGTCACTAGTTTGCTTATGAAGATTAAGCGCAGGCTTCCTGTCCCCGACAGCGGGAATTGTTTAAAGATGAGATGATCTCAAGAAATCATCTTGAGATGATTTCGGGGCTTAGCGTCCCCGCGGCCCGGTCCTCGACCAGGCCTCCTATTTGTTACACCCCCCCCCAGGAACCAGCCCGTAGCAGCTGTCTAACTCCCAGGTACCTATTTACTGCTAGGTGAACAGGTGCATTAGGGTGAAAAAAACTGCCCATTTGTTTCCGACTCCACCGGGGATCGAAACCGGAACCTCAGGACTACGAATCCCGAGCGCTATCCACTCAGCTGTCAGGCCCCCTTAGACCCAGACCCCCCTGTCAGACCTACGCCAGGGATCACCAAGTATTAACCCAACCACTTACGAGACTGATACATCTTTCCTAAATCATAACTGCTTTGTTTACACTTTTAAACAGTTTATGAGTTCCGAAGCACTACGAGGTTATTTATAACAATAATAACCTAGGCTTGTGAAGTTTCCCAGCTCGTAAACTGTTTAATAAATGTCAAGAGAGCCGCCATGATTAAGGAAAGATGCACAAGACTCGTAAGTGGAGGACGTAAAGTATGCATAAATACCTGAGACACTTAACGTGATTTATTTGAGTGGCAGGAAATATGCGACTCTCCCCCCTCCCCTCCCCCCCCCACACACACACACCAGCCTACGTCAGTATCCAAGGCTCTACAGACTCTGTGACTGCTCTAAGGGGGAGGTTGTGTTCATAGGAGCGCTGTTCAAGCTCTGCGAGGCTGCAATTTGATGCCCGTTGTGTTCGATCTCCTTGATTGCTCTCTGTGTGAAGACGGCTTTCGTTATCCTCTATATTCAGTACACGTGTCTACTGTATGAAGCCTGCTTCGGGAAGCCTGTATTCAAAGCCTGCAGTGGGGCGAACCACACTTGTAGTGGGACCCCCCACACCGGTAGTGGGACCCCCCACACCTGTAGTGGGACCCCACCACACCTGCAGTGGGACCACCCACACCTGTAGTAGGACCACCTACACCAGCACCACAGAGTCACACCCCCTCAGACGTACACACACACACACACACCTTCCAACTTGTTCCTCTCCACCGGCTTCTCAATAAACTCGTGGTCGATCCAGGTGAGTCCCATGTCCACCTGCTCGGCCAGCCTCTTCCACTGCTCCAGGTTCCTCCTGCAGCCGTCCAGGAGGGGCTTGACCCAGGGGAACGACTCCGAGAGTGCCTAGAGGACGAGGACGAGGAAGAAGAGGTCAAAAATTAAGTTAAATAATCACCTCACACATTTTTTTGTTATCAGAGTTATTTTTGTCCTGATATTATTGTTAATAGGTTGAGTGGGTAGGTCCCTAGATGGGAGTGGTCCCTGGTCCCAGGGGTGGGGAGCATAATTACCTTATAGAGTGGAAGGCAAATGACCTCAATGAAGCCGACCTGCATCTTGGGTAGCTCATCCTTCTTCTCTCTGTCCATCATCGCCTGTAGGGAGATCGGACGTGGATGAGAGAGAAAGAGAGAGAGAGAGAGAGAGAGAGAGAGAGAGAGAGAGAGAGAGAGAGAGAGAGAGAGAGAGAGAGAGAGAGAGAGAGAGAGAGAGAGAGAGAGAGACACGGGTGGTGAAGGACAGAGTTACAAACAGACAATGTAACTCTGTAATTCAAATAAACATTCACACAGAAAGACCGACATCTATCTTTAAATATTACGAGTCTACCTCCATCAACTTTCCCACTCCTAAGCAGGAAAAAATGTCCTGCTAGGTAGAGACATGTCCTGCTAGGTAGAGGCATGTCCTGCTTGGTAGAGACATGTCCTGCTAGGTAGAAGCATGTCCTGCTAGGTAGAGACATGTCCTGCTAGGTACAGACAAGTCCTACTAGGTTGAGGCATGTCCTGCTAGGTAGAGACATGTCCTGCTAGGTAGAGACATGTCCTGCTAGGTACAGACAAGTCCTACTAGGTTGAGGCATGTCCTGCTAGGTAGAGACATGTCCTGCTAGGTAGAGACATGTCCTGCTAGGTAGAGGCATGTCCTGCTAGGAGGTTCTTGGGAGGAGTGCAACTCACCGAGGAAGAGGCTGTTATACTAAACTTCCTCCGGTCCTCTCCACTAGTTCTTCCTCATTACAGTCGTGTGTGTGTGTGTGTGTGTGTGTGTGTGTGCTTCGTCTTTATCAGCCTCCTCTCTTCCTTGTTTTATTTTACATTCTCATAGTCTCTCTCTCTCTCTCTCTCTCTCTCTCTCTCTCTCTCTCTCTCTCTCTCTCTCTCTCTCTCTCTCTCTCTCTCTCCTACGCCAGCCACTCTTGTTTGTGACCTATAACCCGGAGGCCGACGTGTGGTGAGTGTATGTATGTATGTATGTATGTATGTATGTATGTATGTATGTATGTATGTATGTATGTGTGTATGTATGTATGTATGTATGTATGTATGTATGTATGTATGTATGTATGTGTGTATGTATGTATGTATGTATGTATGTATGTATGTATGTATGTATGTATGTATGTGTGTATGTATGTGTGTGTGTGTGTGTTTGTGTTAGCAATGACACGGTGAGGGAGGCTTTGAGTGCGGTAACTTGTATTTAGCAGGAAAATAAACATGACCAAAAAAAAGTGTTGCTGATGCTAATGAAGAGACGGAGAGCTAAGAGATATATTACGGCGTGAAGGCAAGTTTCCTGAAGACCACCAAAGACAGGAAGCGTGAAGAAAAAAAGAGCCTCCTTGTAAGGAACACCAGACTGTGACGTCACTTAACAAGTTCTCCCGTGGCGCCAGACACATACCTTTGACGGATTCCAGAGTGAGGGAGGGAGGAAGAGAGAGAGAGAGAGAGAGATAAACAGAACAAGCGCGTGCTTTCCGAGCCCCACACAACAACGCCTCACTCCCCAGATATGAAAGACCAACAGATAAGCCTCACATAGGAGGACTTCCCGGCTCACTAAAAGCCCGCGCTACATTTACTTCTGAGTAGCTAAATCTAAAACAGCAACAACAACAACATCCCCCCACATAGTCTCTTTAACCTCGGCTCCTTGCAAGACATCCTCAATGCCTCTGGTGACGTCACAGTGCCAATTATTAGACGGCACAGTGCCATATATCGCACGCTGCAGGAACCAGGTATTTATATAACACAAAACAGCATTATCTCGCTCTTTCCAGTTGAACATGCAACTAAATTTCTTCACAGTTAATGTCGTGACAAAAAAATTAAAGAAATGTCGTTCTCTAAATCACCTCCTTCGTAAGCTGGAGGTGGACATTAATATCTCTTGGTCATTCTGGTGTTGCTGGGCAGGATCTCTGTCTGGTGGTGATAAGATACGAATGTAAAATAGGAAACTGGAGAAGGCGTTTTGACCCCATCGACACCACTCCTAATTTTATTCACCAAATGATCAGACTGTGGGGTGGAATTGATGTCGTCTTTCATTTAGCCTTGTTGCTTGTGCAGTCACACGCTTTGAAGGATGTGTTGTATTCTAGTCAATATTTGGGATTAACAGTGCTGGGACTAACAGTGTTGGAACTAACAAGGCTGTGATTAACAGTATTGGAACTAACAGTGTTGGAAATAACAGTGTTGAAGCTAACAATGCTGTGACTAACAGTGTTGAGACTAACAATCCTGTGATTAACAGTGTTGGGACTAACAGGGTTGGAACTAACAGACCTGAAGTGAACATATAAGACCATAAGCGTTCGCCGTTTTCAAGGCATTACTGTTTGTGTCTGAAGAGTTGTTCATCAACAGGTTGGAGATGTTCTTACTCTTCAAGTAAACGTTCAGCCGTGTCTTGTGTTCAGGGATGATAGAGATATCTTCTGTTCAGGGTATGTTATGAGATAAAGTTCCTATCAGTTATGTAAACAAAAATTCTGCCAGTGTAAAAAAAAAAAGTCTTAGTAACTTGTCAAGTAACTTAGGAAACGCTGTCAGTGGCCGGTCCTGTGCCGCACTAACCACACACACACACACACACACACACACACACCACACACACACACACACACACACACACACACACACACACACACACACACACACACACTAACCATAGGCTGCTCATTCAGCTGGAGGCGCTCCAGGTCCCCCTGCTCGAAGAACTCATCAGCGACCAGCTTGGCAGTCTTGTGCTGCACCTCCCACGGCTTGGCGATGGCCGACACGTCACAGGCCGTCATCATCATGCCGCACAACACTGCCGGTGAGGACACACACACACACAGAGGTCACCACCTGTCCTAGCCTCACGTCAGCCCCATTCACGAAGTAGTTATGCAAGTACATACGAACATGTACATCTTTCCTCAAGTTTTGACGGTTTTGTTTACATTTATTAAACAGTTTACAAGCATGAAAACTTCCCTATCAACTGTTGTTATGGTTATAAACAGCCTCATGGTGCTTCGGGGCTTATTAAATTTTTAATAATTGTAAACAAAGCAGCCAAAGATTGAGAAATGATGTAGAGGTTCGTACGTGCCCCCGTGACTGCTTCGTGAATCGTGCGCCTGTTCTATATCAAAGTAAGTTACTATAGCACCCTTTAATGACGTCTGAAGTCCCGTAGCATAGCATAATGGCCTCTGATGCGACGAGTAGTACTCTCTCTCTCACGCCATCTAGTACTGTCTAACATCTCTAGTACCCACTAACACCTTATAGTACTATATAACACTTTATAGCACTATATAACACCTTATAGTACCTTATAACATCTTGTAATACTATATAACACCTTATAGCTCCATGTAACACCTTAGATATCCTCCATATAACAACTTATAGTACTCTATAACACCTCCAAGTAACAGCAGGTAACACCTCTCAGCCTCCGCAACACCCCCGTTACTTGGCCAGCGTAACACTCACGCTGTTTCTTCTCTTCGCTCTGCCAGTCGAACTCGCCGTTGTCGGAGAGTTCGAGGAAGGAGTTCTTCTTCTTGAAGTACATGGCCATGTCGGTGCTGAGGATGGCGTTCTCCACCACGGTCATCACTCGGCGGTAGTCCTCGGCAGATAGACCCTGCGAATATTAACACAGTCGCAGAAGAGCAACACGAAGCGTGTAATAGCATTTACTATTATGTGGGTGTTGGT